ATATATATATATATATATATATATATATATATATATATATATATATATAATATGTGCGCACTGTATATGCATACATGTGTATGGGTGTATATTTATATATAAATTATTTTGAACACTGTCTGAATCTTCTTATGCACTATAGAAGTAAGTGAGGTTGTTTGATAACAGTTGATAACATTCCCACTGTAGTCATCATTACAGTAATTACTCTGTTATCATGAAGTACTTAAGTAAGCCACTAGAGAGGCAGGTTCCAGGATGAGTACAGTCTGCTGAGAAAGTCCTGAAGAATGGAGAACCCCAGATGGAAGAAAAGATTTCCCTTCTCTAGAAAACCCAGATTTGCGTCAATCTTTATCCTTTGTATAAAATGTACCTCCTAGCTAGGAGACTGTGCTAATTCTTATACATTTACAACATGTTTCTCATTAATATATAAATCAAATATATATATAATATATATGCATAATCCTAGGCCCACAAATGAGAAAAAACCCATGAACTATGTCTTCTAAGTCTGGCTTATTTTGCTTAAAATAATGATCACTATTTGTAGTCCTCAAGCCTGATGACCTGAGTTCAGTTCCTGGGACCTCCATGAGGGAAGGAGAGAATTGAGTCTATACATTGTGTTCTGACTTTCACATGTAGGAGTTGTGGCATATTCATATGTGCACACATATAACAAATAAATGGAGTTTAAAAATTAAGAATGTGAAAATTGATACAAAGCTAATATTGCAAGCCAGCATTCACAAAGGAGGTATGGAACATAAAAGAGAAAAAAATGGAGGAAGAGTATATTTAAAATGAATCCCCTTATTTTATATGCTCAGTAACAATTAATTAAGAAAAAAAGAAAATGTAGATTGAATATATGTCTCCAAATACTGGCAGTGCCTGGAATATACTAAGCGCATAAGAACTAAAAGAAAGAGGATGGAGAGAAGGAGGGATGAGAGAGTCATTTATAGTCAAAATGGAGTGCTATATTCTTGACTTACTGTAAAATTTTGATGGAGCAATTCAGCTCCTTTCACAGTGCAAGGACAGTCATCTTCCTAACTACGTGTGACATCAATACTTCTCCACTCACTGGTATTCTATTTTTGTAGGGGAATGATTCTGCCTTAGGATGCAGTACTGTGAAGTTAAAGAATACCTTTGATTTCTGCCAAACTTGCAGCCCACCATGGATGCCAGTTTGCTCATGATGGCAGATTTAGGGCTCTGGCTTTGGCAGTGCCTTGGCCTCTCCATCTGTACTTCTGCTGGCCCATTTTGTCTTAATCCATCATCTGTACAAAGAGCAGCTGGAGCTTGTGGGAGTCTCCATGTGTTCAGTTTTGGCTGCCTTACTTATTTAGGTCTCTCTGATTGTTGGCTAACAAACTGCATATCAATCATGGCAAATTAGAGTGTCTTCCAGTGAGAAATGGCCAAAGCCAAACTAGCCCTGGCAAGAATGACCTGTTGATAAATTCCATTAGTATATTGTCATTTCCCATGTATGCTAGTCACAATCCTAAGTGATATGTAACCTTTTACACAGTAGTAAGCATACTTTTAAGTCATGAGAACAACTGATATACTTGACTAGTCATTTTTCACCTACAAGAACTCAAGTGCAAATATGTAAACTGTACTGAAACACAGTGATATTTTTGGGAACCCTGTTTTGCTGCATTTATTCATAAAATTAAAACTATCTTAACAGATAAAATTGTATGCATTTTAACATTTTCAGCATAATGCTCTAAAGTGTGTTTATATTGTAGAATCTCTGACTCTATGTAATTAACATGTGTCTTACCAAACAGTTATCTCTTTGGGAGTGTGAGTATTTAGCATTCACTCAGCATTTTTTAAAGATCACAATGTCTTGGTAGCCATATTGTACACTGTTATAGGTTTATTATAGGTACACAGTTAACTGAAATTTCAAATCATTTAAACAATATCTGCTTGAGCCTTCTCCATCCCTAACCACTCAGGTTCCCACTAATCATCATTCTATTCTATTTTGGTGAGGTCTACTTTAGAGTCCACAATGAGTGACATTATGTGGCATTTATTTCTGTGTCTAGTTTATGCTACATATAATGTTATGAAGGCTCATGCACATCACGATTGACTTCCTAAGTGTTTATAGTTGACACCACATTTATTTATGCATTTATCTGTTTCTGGACATTTGGGATGATTTGACATATTGGCTATTGTATGATTTGTGTGTTGCCATGAGGCTGCAATAGATGTGCGAGTCATTATATTGACTTCATTTCCTTTTGGACAGATGGACCACATGGCAGTCCCATGTTTATATTTTCAAGGAATGTCCATAGTGTTTT